AATAAAGCTTTAAAAAAAAAAAAAGGACACTTAGTATATGAGTTCCCTTATATGAAGGCAAACTTAAAAATGTGTGGTGTTTAAGTGTGAATAACTGGGTATTAAAAGAATAAGGAAAAAAATCAGAAAATGACTTTTCTAACAGTTAAGAGAGTAGTTAACCTCAAGATTACGACTGGAAAGAGGAATATGGGCAGCTGCTGGCAATGTCTATTTCTTGACCTGGTTGGTGGTCCCATGAGTATTCACTTTAAAATAAAGTAATTCATCAAGCTGTATACTTAAGTTTCATGCACTTGTCTTTATGTGTTATATTTCACAATTTTAAATATTTAAAAAGTAAAATAAAACTACAGAAAATACTAGAAAAATACTATCTTTTTAAACATCAAGCAATTATAAAGGAAAAGAGTAACAGCTAACTACATAAAAATTTTAAATAGAAAAACTAAGAGCTTTCAATACTAACTAGGGTACATATAACATAAACTTTAGGGTTATTGGCAACATGTATCAAAATCCTCAAATATGTGCATACTCTTTAGCAATTGAATAAAGATTTAACTACCAGAATGCTTAATAATGACATTGTATTATTTACAATAAAAATTTTAATAGTGTATTAGTATCTAAAATATGGTTCATTTATCTATATACTCATTAAAAGTTATATATAACAATATTTACTGACAAAGATTTCAGTAAATATACTAAGTTAAATGACATTATAAGACAGTATATTCAATATTATTTATCTTTTAGAAACATACAAAACAGGTAATGTCAAAGTTATATACAAAAATGTGAATAGTGGCTTTCTTCATGGGAGGTAAGGTGAGATTAAGGATGATTTCTATTTTCTTCTTTTTTTAATCTGTATTTTCTTATTTTTTCATAATAGAGGATAAAGTTACTTCCGAAAAAAATAAATTACAGTATCTACCCTTGATGTGATGATTAAAATGGAATCTCATCTCTGTTGTATTCCTGCACAAAACCCATGAGAAAAACACAATCATAAGAAAAATGTCAAATTTCAATAGAGGAGCTTCCTACAAAATTCTTGACCAGTATTTCTCAAAACTGTCAAGGTCATCAAAAACAAAGGAATTCAAGAGGGATCTAAGGAAACATAACTCCTGAATGTAATGTGGTTATTCTGCATGAGATTTCAGAACAAAAAAAGGACATCAGGTAAAAACTACAGGCATCTAAATAAACCATGAACATTAGTTAATAATAATGTAGTGATATTGGCTCGTTAATTGCAACAAACATATCATACTAATATATGACATTAGTAGGAAAAAATGAGTGCAATGTTTATAGAAATTCTATACAATTAAATTTTTCTGCAAAATCTAAAACTGATCTAAATACAAAGTTTATTTTTTTTTAAAAAAAATAATAGTACCTAAGTTAAAATGTTTACTGTTCTTCAGTTTCAGGTGATTTCAAATAAAATATTAGAATTGTGTGTGTGTGAGTGTGTGTGGTGTGTGTGTGTGTGTGTGTGTGTGTGTGTGTGTGTGTGCATGCGCAGACACATGTGTGGAGAGAGAGAGGGAGAAAAAGAACAAAATATTAGGTTTTTTTTTTTAATGTTATAAAAGGAGCAATGCATATACGTAATATATAAGTCAGTCTGTATATACAGACCTCACCTGTTTAACCACTTCTATTTCTGTACAATAATTACACATAAATAACAATAATAAACATAATTATATGAGAATATAAAATATATTACAATGTATCTTCCTGTGCTGTAAAATGAAGTGAACTAACTTCAAGCAAAATGCTTATTTTGCTCAGCTAACAAATTACGCATCCCTAATTTCCTTTCTTACTGAAAGTTGACCACTGAAATAGCACATCCTGTACTCCTAGAGGGAGCCAAGTCAGAGAGCAGAGAAAGTGCTTGCTGAAATAATTTTCTCTTCTTTCCTCAAAAGGGAAAAAGTCAGTAGTGGTGACCAGTCCTGCACAAGGCTCACTACTGAGCCCTATGGAAGTTGGTTTCCCTAAATCCAAATAAACTGTAGTCCCTTATGAAGCCTACTGAGAAGACCAAAGGGAAAAGCATTCCACTTGTTAAATGTTTATTATTTGAGCTTAGCAGCCAACTATAATAAGGGAGAGAGGAAGCTGTCTGCAAGCTGCATGCAGATTTAGCTACTCAAATTCCATGAATGTAAAATAGAACATTGAGGCTAAACCCTTAAAATTTACTAGGCAGTAGTTTAAGGGAGGAGGTAGTTGGTAATAAAAGCTTGGAGCCATTAATATTTGAGTCAGTGATTTGAAAGCAACTCAAGTCAACAAAGAACTAAAATTCTCAGGAAAACTGTTGATTCCTCTTATTCTAAGAACCACAGTCCAACATAGGAAAGGAACAAAGCTCTTCTCTCCTATGACTCCTTTAAATTTGATCTGAGACTAAATGTTTTTTGTTTTCCCCAAAGCCAAATTATTATCCATTAAACTGCTGGTGGGTGGCATAAGCTAAACGTTTTCTTCCTTTATCCTGCGTTTCCTTGGACATCTTCCTTGGCTGAGCCTTAATGACTATCCACACTACACTTAGTTATTCTTTACTTTCCCAATTCAATGTGTCCATCATTCCTTTCACTATAATAATGATGTAATATCTCAGGCTTATTATCTATAGAAATGTGCTTTAAAATTGACTACAGGATTTTGGTTATGAGTGCTAACTAGAAAGTAGTAGCATGTATCTTAATAGACATCATGATAAAGTAAGTCTATTGGAAAAAATAAACAATGTATTATTTATTCCATTTCCAGGCAGTTAATGGCATAAACTAAAATAAAGTAACAAATTGAAGAAAAATATTTTTCGGTATGAACTACATTTAATCCTCAAAAATAAAAGGCATGAAGATGGATAAAGTTTAAGACAAAAAAATCAGACTGTCAAGTAAATATGAACAAACAGGGAAGTAGGCCTGGCCTTAGGAGTTTTGGGTTCAAACTGTGTTATCTTGAGCAAAGGATTTGGAGTTCACCTCTCTGGTTTTTCCAACTCTAACATGATTGGATCTGACGTTTTTTACAAGGATGAGGATCAAGAACTTTTTACAAGTATTTGTTGAATTAATACAAAATTCATGTGGATTAACTACATCATCTATTAAATAATAGGAACAGCTATAATTTTATTAAATGCCTAATATGTGCTAGAACATATTATAAGGCCCTTTATATTCATTATCTATTTTAATCCTCACTTTAACCTCCAAGGGATATCAAGACTGACTAGAAAACAGGCTCAGAAAAGTTAAGAAACTTGTCCAAAGTCATAAAACTAGTAATACATGGCAAAACTATGATTCAAAACAGTCTAGATTTAAAGTTCATGCACTTTCCACTAGCCCCTTAGAATTAATCTGGCATTAACAGGAAATGAAGCATTCACAGCAAAGAAGCTTCTAGGCAACTATATTTTAATTTTAAAATTTTATGCAAATCTGTCTAAAAAATATATAATGTACTTCCTCTTTTGCTTTAATTCACTAACCAAAGTCAATGCCTTTCTGCAACAACTTAGGATCATAACCATGGACGTTGTGATGTGGATCAGAACACATATTGATGTGTAAAAGTCATGATGCTCCACAATTCTATCCTGTTTCTCTACCTGGCAGTGCCTCTCTCAATACCCTGCCCTAGCTACTCAGCGATCGGTTAAGAAATCAGATAATTCATGTTATGTAAATAAATCTAAGTAAATATGGCCCTGGGATAAGAACTTGAAGATGACTCCTTACCAAATATATCATATAATCTAGCTCTGCTACTTTCTTTTTTGCTTCTTTCTAGATTGTAGCTATGATCTATAAAGATGAGAGTTCCTGAAGAGAGATTTCTGGATAAATGAGGCCTTAGTAAACTAAAACAATATCTTCTTTTACAGTATCATCTGATCACTTTAGACTTCAATTTACCAAATCTCATCTTGCTGTTCTTAAAATGGAATCACAGTATTAAAATATATTACTTCTAAAACCTATTGTATAGCAAACTCTTCAGGAGATGTACATATTTGTATTTAGTTGTGTGATACCAGAAACACAATACGTATTAAACATTCTCACTAAACAATAATGCAGTAATGATGGCAAACTCAGTCTTAAACTTAAACCAAATGGAGGTGGTAAGTGCCTAAGCTTTCCTTAGCCTAAGTATGATCTCTTCCAAACACCCCATATACCTTCCCTAGCCAAAACTAGTAGAAGAAATGTATAAATTCCCCCTTTGTATATGAAGAATAACATCATAGCACGCAGTTGTTTACAAGTATGCTTCCTTTTCCCTGACCAAAGTGCAAATTCCCTGGGAAAGGACAGTTTCTATCTCATTTTTTGTACTCTCTTCCCAGAGCTTTGCATAACACCTTCCACGTAGCAAGTGTTTCTAAAGTTCTTTAAGTATTTAATACCCCTTTTTCTACCACAACCATTCCTTTCCCCATCAGGACCTGGGAGGGAAGATAAAGTAATCTCTTCCATGAGACTGCTAAAATATCTGTAAGTAAGCAGTAGTATAAAAGACAGTATCCCTGCTCTAAAAATAAGGTCACAGTAAGGTTCCTAGGAAAAAGTAATGCTTATTTTCTCATATACCATTGATAATTACAGCATTAACATATAAAAATAACGTTCTCACCTTAATAATAGAAACAGATACTTTGTTTTGAATTTACTTTGTGTATTTTAACTACATTAACCACTTTTTACCTTTCTGAAACTGATGTGTCTATTTGAGTGTTGAAGACAATACAATATCAATAGTTGAGGTTTCTGTTCATTTTGATTTCAGACATTTACACTTCATTAAATTTACTAAAGCATACTGCTTCACATTCAAGATCCCCTAGACAGATCATCATTTCATGCCTGGAGCCCCCTATTTACCATGTATCATCAGTATTATTAATGTTGGGTCTTCTACAGTAAACTAAAGTAGTCTCTCAATACCTGTTAACTTTGGATTTTTTCCAGTTGACTTTTTTAATACCCAAATCCACATATGATTCAGTGAGTTCTATATTTAATTCTCCTTCAGAGTCAGTTGGAAGTACTCCTAGTTTTCCAGCAGATTCATAGAGAGAAATTTCATCTTTTAGTTCTGTTAATTCTTCCTATAACACAAAATTATTGAAGATAATTTTTATTATTTTCTTATATGAAGAAATCAATAATTCTATCTATGCTTCAAAATGTTTTAATGATCATAAAAAGCAAAAAGCATCTTCAAATACATTAGTATATATTGTAAATTACTTTATACTGGCCAGCACATACAGGTTTTCAAGTAAACTGAATGGATGAATGAGTAAACAAATGTAAGTAATTCCTCTCACACCTCCCTCTCTTACATTTTGAACTTCATGAAAAGTCCCTTAAGCTGGAAAGCTGATGGCAGCACTTTCTGGCTTACTAGAGTAGGGGTCAAAGTAGAGTGGTTTGAGAAGAATGTGTTGTACTTTAGCCTGCCAGTGGTGAAAAGGCAAAATCCCTCTTTCAGTGGAGGTAATCCCAGAACTCTTCTCCAGTATTTTCTTCTGCCTCCAGTGGAAAATGTAAGTAGCTGAGAGGTTTGCAGCTAAATCCGATGTTGCAGACCCTTGTAGATAAACTGATCTCTAGGACATACTCATAGATGAAAAGACACACCAAATGAAGTAGGTGGCAGGCAGACTGGCAGGAGGGGCAGGCTCCTGGCTCTGCCGAACTGGGCTTGACTCCCCAGTTGAGTGTGGGAGATTGTGAGCAACTACCATGAGCTGGCTTGAAGATGGTACAACAATCTCTATCATACAAGAGACCCAAGATTCAAAGAGGTGATATAACCATTGCCCAGTTGAGTTACCCACAGAGTCTTTTCAAAGTGATTGACACTTACTTGCAAAGCCTTGTTCATCTTCTCACTCATAGCATGAGCCTTCAGTGCTTGCTGCAGCTGTTGCTGTAGCTGAGCCACCTCCTGTACTGAGCCTGCAGAAGAACAAACCACAGAATGCACTAACTGTAAGAAGACAAAGTACCTATGATCTACAGAAGAACCTGAAGTCATTTAGGCTACAGAAAATGAAGTTCTGCTTTATTAGCACTGTCATTTTAGGGGCATAAAGGTATAGAGCCAAGGGGACCCAGAAAACAAAGATCAGGTCCAGACATTACCAAGATTTAGTATGGCTTCCCATATAACCCTGGGGAGTTGAAGGCATGGGCTACTATGACCATCTTATGAATCAAATCAGCCACATCTACAGACATTAACACTCCAGCAATCCATTAATGGGAACACAACATTCCAACTCATAGAAAGTCAAAGAAAAAATTCTTTGGAACCCATTTCTACCTTCCAATAAACTACATCTTGCTGCCTTAGCTTCTTTCTAAATGCTTTTATTCCAACATTCCCACCTCCAAACGTAAAATAAGTATATTAGGATTGTGCTTCTGAAATTTTAGTAACTTAGTATTTTAAATGTACTGGGCAGAAGTGAGAGGGAAGCCCATTTAAAAGTGACTTATAGGGTTTCAAAAGAAAATGACCATCTATAAAATGGCTAAATAAAGAAATGATGGTGTATTTTGCAGCTAAAGAAAATTATATTTTCAAAGCCTTTAATGGTCAGAGAAAAGACCCACCAAGTAATGTCAAGTGAAAACAAAGGATATACAACTAGACAGGCAGAGGAGCCTAAATAGCGTAGGATCCAAATTTAGCTTCCACCAATACACACACACACACACACACACACACACACACACATTTAAGCAGTCCTTGACTTTAGTATTTTCAAGTTTAGAGCAATCTAGCCTTTCATATATTGTGCCAATAGTCTGAATTGTCTTTCATATGCCAAAATGTGACTTTGATATATCAGCTAATGAATAATCATTGACCTATTTTCACAGTATGCGAGCACACAGTGAGGTTTTTGTCTGAACAGCAATGTTTATACAAACATTTTATTATTTTATTGCTTTTTACCCTAATACCATTTTTTAAAAATTAATAAGTAAAACTACTGCTGAAACTAAAATGATAGGAAGCATATGTCTCAAACTTAATATCATGGAGATCATACTAGAAATCTCAAGCATGACAAAAATGTAACTTTCTGGCCTCAATTGACTAAGTTAGTGGCTATTCCATTGTGAGGGGAAAAATATTAAAGTTATACAAAAGGACAAAACTATATGATCAAATATTGGGCCTAAATAAACAAAATATAATGGAATTTTATAATCACTTTTAGCTTTCAGAGATAGAATTTACCTTGTAACATATATTTTACTGCTCAATTTTTACACATTCAGCTTTAGTATGTTTTCAGAAATGCACTATATAAAGTAGGGCATTGTCTGTGTGTGTGCCTTCATCTCATTTGAAGAAAATACATCTGAACACTACTAATAATTATCTAAGTAGTAGGATTATTGGCTACTTTTATTTAGCATTTTATACTTGTCTGCAGTTTCCAAATTATGTAATAAAAATGAACTACATCTTTGTTCATACATAGTATTTTTCAAAAAAGAAAATAAATGTATTAATTATCTTTTTTGCCTCTTCTGGGTTTTTGCAATTCATGGATCCTACTGTGTTCTCTTTGCATATTGTGCTAGCCTTCTGGGCACATTGAAGCCAAACCAGACACCCACCGGATTGCAACAAGTGGGCACATTGCTTCTGACTTTCCTCCAGGCTTCTTGTCAGTCTGTTAATGATCTCAGTCTTTTCTAACTTGATCGTTTCTTGATTTCTTTCCAGTTGCTTCACGTGATCTTTCAAATGAAGACAAATGTCTTCCTAAAAAGAGAGTTCAACAAGTCATTTTCATGATAAGTTTTAGTAAATATTAAACTAAAAATTATGATAATTGGATTTTACATCAAATATAAAATGACATGGCAGCATCACCTCTTTCACAGGGTTAAGTGCATAGGACTGGGAGTCAGGAGAACAAACCTGTGTGATCTTGAGCAAGGCCTCAACTCCTCAGTCTGTTCGACTGTTTCTTCTTTTGTAATTATACTAATAAAGGTTAAATTAGATAATTTCTAAAGCACCCTTCTACTCTACATTCATAAGGCACTGTTATATGAAAATTAGACTGAACTCAAGCCAAAGGAAATGTATTACATTTCTGTTTGCATTTGACACTGTCAGTATATATATACATATTTAGACAGACTACTTTATTTATTTATTTATTTATTTGCAACTGGGCATGGTGGCTCATGCCTGTAATAAGGCAGACTACTTTAAATCACGCAATGTGTATCTCAAGACAACAAGGATACAGACACCAAATACTGTACATGGAAACTCACTGTATTCAGAGCAGCCAAAAATAATCTTTCCCTTCTCTGAACTTCTTTTAAACTCAATCTATTTCTCTTATGTTTCTCTATCTATCTTTTACACATCTTATTTATCTTAATAGTCTCACTGAAGTTGCCTCTGCAGTGTCTCATATATATATGTATATGATATATATGTATGTAATATATATCATATACATATATATGTATATATATAATATGTATGTAATATATATCAAGTGCTGCAGCAAACACTTGAAAAATAAACGACAAAGAAAAAACAGCGAGGGTAAATGTGTGTGCAGATGTATAACTGCATAGGAATATACAGAAATATATACTCAATATATTCAAGTTTCTTCAAAAAGAAAATGTGTCCAGGAGTCCCAAGCCCAGGTAGAACAAATCATCACTGTAGAAATCATCACCTTTCTATCAAAAAAGGCTATACAGGTTGAGTTTCAGGCAAATGGCAGAACATAAGAGAGGCAGAAGAGTGAAATAAGGTAATTGCTTGAAATTACTTGAAAAAAAAACTAAAGAAAATAAGTAATAAGAATAAGATCAAGAAAGGGCTTTGAAGTCAACAGACAGCCTTTGGTTTTGGCTGCCTGATCCATAGGAAAATCTAAAGCCCAATAATGCCTTAAGGATACTAACACATAAGGGCACTAACACAGAAGTTCCCTTAAGCAGAGCAAAGGAACTCTGAAGTCTCCCATTTTGGATTAAAACTTCATGTGAATTTTGTATTCTATTTCATAATGTGGCTGTGTTTGCTTTAAATTTTTTCTACTAAATTTTTGAGTAAAATGAAGCTTCTGGAAACTGTTCCATGTTTATTCAGCACTGCAAACCTCCTGGCACACTGCTGCGGATTCCCAGGCCAGCTGGTTCTAAAGTGCCAAAGTACGTGGCAAACACAATGAATGAGCTAATATTAATAAAAGTATGACCGTAATGACAGCAACAAGGGGTGGGGAGACAGCTAATATTTATGTTCTGGGAAAGTCACAATAGTTTTTACAAGAAGAGACTGGGAACTAGAGAAAAAAGTTAAAGAAAAGGTACATTTAAAAACCATTGCAAAGAAAAGGCAGACCCTGGCAAGAATTTGACTATTTGTGACAATCAATTAACTGGTTGACAACTTTAGGGAAACCGATTATACTCATAAAACTACAAGGATTTAATACCAAAAAACAAAAAGATGATCTTTTCCATAATTAACTTAAGTGAGAACACTCAGTTCAAGACTGATATGGGCAGTCATCTTTTAGCACTGGATGAGACAAATGTGATGATAAAGAGATGACAGCTGAATTTGTAAGAGGGAAAATATAAGCCATATATTTCTCAAAATACACTAATTACACAGACATTTTAAAAAATGTATCATAGATTGCTACTCTTCCCATTACATGGAATTAGATATTTTATGTATTAAGTTTTGTCTTTCAAAATACAATTAAATACCCATTCATGATAAAAAAAATAAAAACTTAGTAAACTAGGTATAGAGAGGAACTTTCTCTACATCAAAAAAAGAAAAGGTTCAAATTTTCACTGTTAAGTGTGATATCGTTGTTGTGTATTTTTTAATGTAGAGGAACAAGGCAAGGATGTCCCCCCTCACCACAGCTTTTCAACATCATACTGAAAGTCCTAGATAATTCCTGTAAGACAGGAAAAGAAAATAAAAGGTATACATATTGGGGGAAAAAGAAATAAAACTGTCTTTACTTATGGATGACATGATCATCATAGAAAATCTTAAAAAACTGACAGAAAGACTCCTGGAACTAATAAGCAATTATAGCAGGGTATAGGTAAAGAAGTCCACCACTCTCCTATATATCAGCAATGAACAAGTGGCATTTGAAATTAAAAACGCAATACCATTTACATTAGTATCCCCCAAAATGAAATATTTAGGTATAAATCTAACAAAATATATACAAGATTGGTATGACAAAAACTACAAAACTATGATGAAAGAAACCAAAAAAGAACTAAATAAATGGAGAAATATCCCATGATAATAGATAGGAAGATTCAATATTGTTAATATGTCATGTCTTTCCAACCTGATACAAAGATTCAATGCAATCCCAATCAAAAGTCCTGCAAGTTATTTTGTGTATGTCAAAAAACTGATTATCTAAACTTTATATGGAAAGTCTCATACAGTACTATTACTCTGGTGCAGAATGCTGACAATGGAGAAGGCTACGCATGTGTGAGGACAGGAATATATGAGAAATCTTTGTCCCTCTAACGCCATTTTGCTGTGAACCTAAAACTTCTCTAAAAATAAAGTATATATACATATATATATTTTATATATATGGACCATATATAAAGTATTTATATATAATTAAATATACATAAAGCCTATTTACATGCTGATGTTTAGCTATTGTCCAATAAAAGTCTGAACAGATGACATATGATTAGTCTATAATATAGTTATTGTCCATTTCCACCAAGAACAATATTTTTATAAAGCAATAATTTTCAACCTTTTATGAGAGGAGGCAAAATTTTGAAAAATCTGAATAAACTCATGTGTCTTCTCAAAAAAATCTGTATACTCATACCCCATAGAAAATCTTACCCACAATTTCAGAGAATTCATGGACTCCCCAGAGCCTAGTCAGACTGTTTTAGGAGACACCATGTTAAGAATCTCCATTACTAGCAAAATTTATGATGTCTGAACATCTACTTTGTTAACACTGTGTATATACAATACATAAATACAGTTGTGTGTGACGACATGAGAGTCACTCAGAACCTAGCCATTGACAAATTTATTAAAGTTCATCTGGGTAAATGATCCAGTTATTTGTACCTTGCTACTATTTTCCAGGAGTCATCTTACTTTTCTTTGTAATCTGCAGGATGGTCTACAGAGGAAAAGGTTATCTGAAAAGGAAATATGTTGCACCTCTTTGGTAACTTTTGTAAAGAAAAATGAGATAAGGGTCAAAATTAAGTATGTATGCATGGTCACCAGCTATATAAGAAAATCTAAACCAATTCTCTGTGTGTAGAACATATTCATGAATTTTTCTAATTACAGGCAGGCATCTCCCTAGCCACTGGTAGATTTTTACAGTGCTTCTCCAATTAGGAATCCCAGTTTGGATTTTGAGGTAATACCGAATGAATATAGGTACCCTGAACTTTTTATTAAAAATACTGCTGAGCAAATGGATAACAAATTGATAGCACAAAAGTGATATCATAAGAAACATTCTCAGAAAGAACTAATGGTAAACACTTTCGAACTACCACTTTGCAAAGCAGCTATGCAATACATGCAGAGCCTAACATTAAGTGCTATGTTCTGTTAAAAAGACAATAAAATAAAAACAGTCATAGAACATAACAGTGGGAAAAGACATTAACACCTTCAATTTATGCTTCAGGACTCTGATGCCCACTCAGCACAGAATAAAGGCTTGGTTCTGACTTCTAGTCTAGAGTTATTTTATTGAAGAGAGAATGCAGTTGGGTACAGGGGTAGAACATACTAGAAATTCCTTCCAGCACTTTCCTAATGTAATTGTGAGAATGGAAAGATCCTCTACTTGGTATGGAAAAGTCACCAGATTCCACTCTTTTCTAGTAATCTGAGGACTGCTGTCCAAGTCCAACTGACTTAAATGCTACTATCCTGTGTTTGAACATTAATTTAATTTTTAAAAATCAATAAACTATATCTCAAATTCTATTTGTTTAAATATTCTATAAAGTAGACTCTTCTAGCTCAGAAAGTAAAATACTGCATATCTGCACTTGTAAGCGGGGGCTAACAATGGGTACACATGGACATATGGAGTATAATAACTGACACTGGAGACTATAAAAGATGGGAGGTTAAGGGGTGGTGAGAGTTGAAAAATTACCTATTGAGTACAACATTCTCTATTCAGGTAATGGGCATACTAAGAGCCCAGACTTCACCATTATGCAATATACACATATAAGAAATCTGCAATTGTATCCCCTAAATATTTAAAAATAAAGTTTTAAAAAAGTGTAGACTTTCCAACAATTTGGCATAGAGTTCATCTTCCCTACCCTTATATATCTTCCACAATGATCAAACTCACAATATTTTTCTATAAAAAAGGAATAAACAAATAATTAGCAAAATACATACTGGTGCATAAGTTTTTTTTGTTTTTTTTTTGAGTTGGAATCTCACTCTGTCTCCCAGATTGGAGCACAGTGGCCGCTCCCGGCCACCACAGCCTCGACCTGCTGGGCTCTGGCGATCCTTCCGCCTCAGCCTTCCAAGTAGCTGGAACTACGGGCGCACGCTACCATGCCTGGCTCATTTTTTTTATTTATTGTAGAGATGAGGTCTCACCTGCCCAGGCAGGTCTCGAACTCATGGGCTCAGGCAATCCACTCACCTCAGCCTCCCAAAGGCGCGGGATTACAGGCTGAGCCACCGCAACACCGTGGTGTTGGAGTATATCGTTTGTCATTTGGAGTGACAATGTTGTGCTTGTGAATACACCTTGCATTTTGCAGAACTGTAGTTAGTGCTATTTGTGGGCTAAAGATGAAGTATCAAGTGGAAAAAGACGAACACTTCCAATATATTCTTCTCTTGAATTTAAAAGATGAGTAAAGGCAGTGGAGACCAACGCCAGCGAGGAAAATGTGGCAACAAAATGGTTTTGTTGTTTCAAAGAAGGCCATTTGACCTAAGTGATTCTTCGTGCTTAGGAAAACCACTGGGCTTTGATGAAGAGACCATTTCAATGCTTTAATTCACAGTGATCCATCAGTCAACTCAAAAACTGGCAAATGGATGAACCAGTCAACCATCATGTGATATTTGCATCCCATGGGCAAGCCAAAAACGCTATTAACTTATGCATCAATCCAATAACTCTAATAAAAACTTACACAAATACATATAAACATAAATTAGAATAAAAACAATTATTATGCCATAATAATTCAATCTTATATATCTAAAAGCATGGAAAAAGTCAGCAATGTAAGTCAGAAATAACAATCCAAAGCAGGATGCATCTTAAGTGTGGTGGATGTTTCCAAACTCTCACATATTATTTTTCTGCTCCTCTTCTCTTAGAATTACATTTAAAAAAATGTATTCTGAAATTTTATTCATTCAGGCAACTATCTAGTGTTTTGGAGCACAAGCAAACTCACCATCTGACTTATCCTTAGCTTATAATATTTTATTCCCTCTTGGGCAAAAATAACAAAAATTGACTATAAAGTAGGCTAAAACTTCAAATCTCAGTAAGTCTAGATCTAACTTTCTTCCCTATTTTATGTATTACACTATCCTCAAAATAAACTCTCCTCTCAAAATCCATTTCTCAACAGACTTTACTGATAAATGAATTATCAAATACTGTGAAACCCAAGAAAATCTTTCTACTGGTTAAATTTCCAAGATAACCTCTCAGGTTCTGGTCAGCCCCCAGCACACTCATTCCTTTCAGTCTGGATTTATTCTAGGACCATGGGAACAATATGCATAAACACTCTACAAATAAAGGACTAGTAATGTGAGAAGAGAAAAAGTACTAATCAATCCTATAAGAAGGGTTTCCAAAATTAGGATGTACGCACAGATTAAAACATCACTGGCTTTTAAATTTTACTCACAATCTGATTAACATCTACTATAAACATTCAGGATTTCTATATGACAAACCACAAAATATCAGTTATATAACATAACCAGCTTTATTTGCTAACAGTTGCTCATTTGAGATTGTCCCACCTGTTCTTTAAGTGTGTTAACTGTAGCATCCAAATTATTTTGTAAGGATGACACTTGTTCTTCATATTTCTTTGTGAGGCCCATCACAATACTCTCATGCTGCTCTCTAGCTCGTTGAAGTGATTCAGAATGGTGAAGGTCCACCAGTTGTTGCTTCAAGCTCTCCAGAGCCATCTCAGTTGTTCTGGACTTCTTGATGATCTAATAAATACACACAGGATATTCATGTCTACAGTATTTTAACTCTGTGCTTGCTATGGACTTTAAATCTAAAGCTCAGCTATGCTTTAATGAGAGTAGAGAAGAAGGGGTCACTCCTACCACGGCTCAAGCTCTTCAAAACATCCCTACCTGAGACCCACGAGGCTTGTGGTTGTTGGAAACAATATTCATTGAGAAAATATATCTTGTAGTTACCTGAGGAGAGTGAAAGAGCATTTTGTGCGGTATGGTGGCCATGTGACTATCAGGCAAGGAATCTGCTGCTACAATATTGGCCTCAGAGCTATTTGCACAGCTCTGTGAGCAAAGTGTAAAACAACCCAGTTGTTAAGTCATAGAAAAATGGCAACTGTTCCTGGAAAGACTGATGAAACCTGCCAATGGTCAGTTACTAGGAACAAAGTTTTGAAAGTTGTAACTGCGCAGTTGGTATTGTAGGCAAAATAATGGCATCCAAAGATGCTCATGTTCTAATCCCCAAAATCTGAATATGTTCTGTTACATGGCAAGGGAAAATGAAGATTACACATGGCATTAAAGTTGTTAATTAGGTGACCTTAAAATACGAAGACTATGCTGGATTATCCAGGTGGGCCCAATGTAACCACAGGGGTCCATAAATGAGGAAAACAGCAGCAAAAAAGTCAGAACCAGTGATACTTAACCAGTCATTACTGGCTCCGATAGCAGAAGTGGCTCACAAGCCAAAGAACGTAGGAGGCCTCTAGAAGGTAGAAAAAGCAAGAAAGTGGATTTTCCCCTTGAGCCTCCACAAAGCAATGTAGCCCTGCTGATTCCTTAATTTTAGCCTAGTGAGATCCAAATCAGACATCAGATCTTCAAAACTATGTGATAAATTTGTGTTGTTTTAGCCACTAAATTTGTGGTAATCCGTTATAGGAGCAATAGGAAACAAATACACTCAATGATACTGTTGACTTTATTTTTTTATGTATGCTATCTTGTTATTTTATAATGTAATTTCTAACCTATAAAGATTACAAAGTTATAACCTTTTACTACATAAAGGCAATTTAATGGTTTAATCTAATAACTTTGTCAGTTTTCAAAAGGTTAAAAATAATCTATATTAAACATAAAAATTAAAATTTCAAATGAGGATTATTCTTCATTCTATTCCAGAAATTGCCTACTTATTTCAAAACTGCTTTTATTCTTGAGACGTTCATTCCTTCACTCAATAACACCAATACTTTGTGTCAGGGAGGGTTCTAAGCACTAAGGACGTAATGACAAGACAGACCAAATAACAAGTAAACAAATGAGATCATTTCAGATAAATTATAAAATACACAAATAGACTATGGCATGATGAGGAGAGTGGGAATAAGAAGTTATGGACTACTTTCCATATAAAGGAGTAGGAAATCCTCTTTGTAAAGCTGACTTGTTTTTAGCTAAGACCTCAAGGATGAGGAGGAGCCAACCATGAGACAACATTGTTTAAGCTCTTTCATTAAACTATCCTCAGACTTCGCTACATGTCTCACCCAAAACCAAGCTTACTATTTTATAATCACTTCCAATTTTAACTGGAAATAATGAACCACTCACCACCAGGTTTGGCTACAGATGACTTGTGACTATTTCCAAAAAATCAAATAGTTCTATCTCATTAATCAAAGAATGTGAATGTGTCACTTTAAAGGCAAGTCTAAAGAACAGTTCTCTAAGTGTTTAGAAAGCAGCAAAATATACGTATGTGTGTGTGTATATGAGAGGGGTGTGTGTGTGTGTGTGTGTGTGTGTGTATGGCTTCTCAGGATAGCAACTCTAGAGGGAACAATTTGGGTTAGGAAATTTAGGTTCTGATGCTTTGTCAATAACTGAATTTGTACCCCCTTAACCTCCTAAGACCTGATTAATTCATCTATAAAATATTAAAATACAATGCCATGCAAGTCAAAATTCCAACAAGTTGATTTCCAAGATCTGGGAAAAAATGTGAAAAAGAGATGCAAAATTTTTGAAGAATGTTAAGGGTAGCCCTTGTTTACCAAATTTCAAAACACATACCCTATATAAGCAAAGGGCATTCCAGAGAGAGGAGATAATGCATACAAGTACTATACCTAGAAACAACAAACAGAAGGTTGAGTTTGAGGAGAAGAAAACAGATAGGCATGGATCAAATTGTCATCTTGATACCATATGTTGTCCCACAGGTAAAGCAGGGCCGTTGAGAGGCTTTATGGAAAGGAATGTCATAATCAAAAATGTACTCTAGAATGATTACTAAGATGGCCATAAGAGAGAATTTGTAAGGGGTAAAAGATAAGAGACTAGTTAAGAGACTTTTGCAAATAAGAGAGTAAAATCCTAAATGAACAGAAATGAAGAGACTCAACAGAACTTAGGAGCTGACTGGATGAAGGGAACAGAGAGGTTGAGGTCTCTTCCAGATGTCTGGTGTAGTTGATTAGGTAGATGGTAGCACCACCCCTCCAGGGTAAACCAAGAAGTAGACTTTTGGTGTAAGAAGATAAAAAACCTCAAAGTTCTTCTAAATTTAGGACTCTCCTACCAAAAGTCTTGTTAAATAACTAAACTTTTCACTTTTTCTTTTTTTGCCATAAATAATAAAGTTAAAATATGTACCTGTTCTTCGTTGATTTTTAATGCTTGTATTTGGGTCTCCAGTGCTTTTATTTGTGCTTCAAGCTGCATCCCTCTTTCTTTTTCATTCTGAAAGAGTTTCTGTGATTCTCTTAGGCTAAGGGTCAAACCATCTTTTTCACCTAAGTCATAAAAAATGTTTATATTAATAATATGTTACTGAAGAGGAACCACAATTATCTCAATCCCTATCATATAATACATAATGTTAAATTGAATTAAATTCAGACAAATGAACTTTAGTTGGGTTAGAAAAAACTAAATAAATTATTAAAAACTAAATAAATTATTATTATTAAGAAACAAACACACACATACACAAAATACCCAAGTAACACCAAAAATCTTTTTTAAAGAATCAGAACCACCTCCTTTTAAAATATTGTACCCTTTTGGGGTCAAAAAATTTCCTAACAATTTCAGCATTTGCTTACCTGGGAAGCCACATAGATTTGACAAATCCTCATTAATCAAAGAAGGTATCTGACAACTAATTATCCCACACATACTTGCAGTGAACTCTTAAATTCACCTCACATACTTTGCTATAACAGCTCACAAGTTCTATCAAAATAAATTTTATTAGCAATACAGGGAAAGACCTTTTCACTATTAATTAAATTTGAAATGAATGATCTAGAATTCAGTCACAAAATTATTCTAGAAATGAAAGTTCAACACTGACCAAAACTGAAAAAGCACAAAGAGTAACAATTAAAATTTGAATTTGTATTTACTTTATGTGCTTATGCCAGATATGGCACTTCAGAATTACTAACCCTTACTTTGATTAAAACACTTACGGTAATTTGCAGACTCAGAAAATGTTGCATTGCAAACTAAAGTAAAAGTCACTCTGAAAATTGGAATTCTTCATCTAGGGTAACTATATAAGGAATCAACAACTTTTTAGAAGACAATGTCATCAGTGTATTCATTGATTTTAAAAGTCTAAGAGAGTAAGGAAGGGGAATAAAAATAAGTGAAAGAAGAAAAGTGGAGGAGGAATGAGGATTACAAATAGTATGTTCTGGAGAGAAGTAATCCAAGGCAAAGACTCAGAAGTCTCGGGTTTTGTTCTGTTCTGCCTGACTCACTGTGAGGCCACTGACCAGCTGCTCCAATGCTCTAAGCTTCATATATAAAATAAGGTTCTTGAAAACAAGATATTTAGCTCTAGTGCATCTCATAAATGACAGCACTCAGTAGTTGTTACCTTACCTTTGATCATCAGAAGCTGGTGATTCAGATATCGAATTTGTCGTTCACTTTCATTTAACTTTTCAACTAAGTTATCTAGTTGTCTTTCTTTTGCTTTGTTAAGAACCTGAAGTTGAATAATTTGCATATTTTCTGCAGAATCTACTTTGGAATTAAAGATGATTTATTAGATAAAAACTTACCAAAATACAAATTTATGTTAATTTAAAGCAGTGCTTTTTAAACTGTGGATACAACAAATTAGAATATCATGAAATCAATTCAGTGTCTTGTGACTAACATTTTTAAAAAAAAACACCACAAGATCTAATAAAAAAGAATATATCAGAATGTTTCATGTAGTAAAAATATGTATTATGTACTTGTTTATATAGACATATATTATAGACTGCACCACAATGTAAAAAATGTACTTCTTATTTGCCAGAAAAGTTTGTAAGTCAGTGGTAGAGCAAAACCCCGAATCATTACCATTTTGGGTCAATTTTAATTTTTATCAGTATATAGCAACTATAATGGAATAGAGTAATATTCTCACAAAATTTTTAAAAATGTATGCGCATTTCTATAAAATCATTTTAAAAATTTTCTAGATACCCTTTTCAAAATATTTTAAGCAGGATGTAAATATCATATTTATATTTATTATAGCAAATAACTTGAATTAATTAATGAATAGATTAATAAAAAACTTCAAAGTCTTCCTTCAGAATGAATCATTTTTGGGACCACTTAAAAGATTCAGTAGAGAGCTGGGCTCAGTGGCTCTGCCTGTAATCCAGCACTTTGAGAGGCTGAGATGAGTGGATTGCCTGAACTCGCGGATTCAAGACCCGCCTGGGCAACTTGGTAAGACCTCATCTCTACAATAAATCAAAAAATCAGCCGGGCATGGTAGCGCATGCCTGTAATTCCGGCTACTTGGAAGGCTGAGGCGGAAGGATCGCCAGAGCCCAGCAGGTCAAGTCTGCAGTGGCCAGGAGCAGCCACTGCACTCCAGTCTGGGCGACAGAGTGAGACTGTAGATTCAGTAGAAAGTGAAAAAGAATGATTGATAGAAGGATAATGCTTCAACTACATAATGAAACTTTTCATTTTCTACTAGAACAATGGTTCTGTTAGCTTACAATCAGTAATAAATGTGTTTACTGAGTTTTAACTACTTGCTAATTAAAAAATAAGTTCCATTTTTTAAAAAGAGATGGTTAAATTTAGAAAATTGAAGATTGAAGTCAAACTCTTCTTAGGCCTTATAGCTGGGCTGGCCTGGAAATAAACACAGTGTCCAAGCTCCATCTTTCTTCAAATTCATTTTTCTAAGATTACTATTACCAAGAAGCTGTAATTCCTAAATTTGGCCATTTCCGTAATTGCTACTGACTCCTTCAGGGGAAAGTGAGTTCTGGGCCTCCCCCTTGAACTAACTAGTAGCCCCAGCATACGACAGTAGCAACACTATAAAGTCACATCACAGAAATTCAGTTTTCTCTTTGGTCTAGCCCAGGTAACCCAGAACATTCACATGACTTCTCCTCCACTATTTAAAGTAAAAATAAAAACAAAACAAAAACAAAAAAACTTGCTGTCATACTCCAGAGACAAACTGGCTCTTCAATATGCACAGAAATGAGAAGTTATTTAATATGCCAGATAGTATAATAATAAAAGCTACATCACCAAAAAATTAATTCAGTATAGTCAGGTCACAGTACAGGTTTTGGATTTTTTTAATACTAGTATTTCATTTCAAAAGTCTCTAGTAGTTATAAGCACTTTTCTCATTCTCATATTTACATACACACTATACAAAACAAATTTTGGGGGCAAGTGTTACATGACTGAACCTGATATCTAAATCTAATTCTGAATATAAGGCAATTTATATAAAAGTTATCTAATTACTATACCAAAACTGCAAAATTAAAAGAAAAAAATTAAGATTGATAATGATTGATTTATTAAATTGTATTTCTATATAATAAAAACTCTGAAATTCAGGAGAAAACTCTATTTCATTTTTAAAATTAGACTTCAGTAAAAAAATAAAATTCATAAAAACTTTACATTGAAGTTCTTTTTAAAAACTTTATATTTGAAGTACTTTTAAACTTCATGTTGGAAAACTTGATATTTGAAGTTCTTTTAAAATTCAGATAAGCTCTGCTTTCTCATGTGGCAGGCAGAGATACCACCACCACAAAAATGAGGAGAAAAGAATTCACAAACTAGAGTGACTGAAATATACAGTCAAGAAACTGCTTTTAGCTCTTCATTATGGAAAATTTCAAACTTACACAAAAGTAGAGAGAATAGCGCAATGAATCCCCAATACCCAAATTCGACAATTATGAATTCATGGCCAATTTTGCTTCATTTGTGTTCCTATCCAACATTATTCCCCAACAACATTCATATCCATTTATTCATAAATATGTTAATGTATACTTCTAAAAACAAGGGCTCTTGGAAATAACCACAATTCTATTTTCATACTTAAAAAAATACTTCTTGAGCCGGGCTCGGTGGCTCAGCCTGTAATCCCGCGCCTCTGGGAGGCCGAGATGAGGGGATTGCCTGAACCCGCGGGTTCGAGACTCGCCTGGGCAGGTGAGACCTCATCTCTACAACAAATTAAAAAAAAAAAAAATTAGCCAGGCATAGTAGCGTGCATCTGTAGTTCCAGCTACTTGGAAGGCTGAGGCGGAAGGATCGCCGGAGCCCAGCAGGTCAAGGCTGCGGTGGCTGGGAGTGGCCACTACACTCCAGTCTGGGCGACAGTGAAACTCCAACTCAAAAAAAAAAAAAAAGCTATTTCTTGAAAGTGCTTAAACATTCACTCAGTGTTCAAAATCTCCCAGTTATGTTATTTAAAGGTAAACCCAATACCTACTTTCACTGACTCCTAAAAACTGTTGTTGCAGCCCTTCAAAGGTGTCACTTTCTGCTATCTCCTGGGCTGGCGAGCCATTATTCTGGGCAGAAGACTTATAAGGTTTGTATGTCACTTTATAAGATTCCAAAGCTTGACAACTGGGACCTTGTGCTAAGCCAAATTGCTATTATAAGACAACAAGTGAAATTAAAAATTAGGATTTGACCTTCTCTACCAAAATTACCTAAATTAGAAACCTTAATTTTATGTTACAGAACTAATTATGATACAATTACAAGTTTTATACATATATCTTTGCTTGAAATGGCACTTACTGTTATTTAACACTGTTAAAGTCTGTAAAATATAATTTACAAATGCCTTAATTGTACTTTTGAGCACATAATAGAGCCAATTTCATAAATAAAATTCAAGAATTCCAATGAGATTGTGTATAATTTATTACAAATGATTTAGATGATGCCAACATCTTGAGAACATAAAAAATGCACATGCTCAATAAGAGCATGTGATACAATGCCTCATATGTAATTAATATTCAGTAACTTTTGTGGAATGAATAACTTTCTTCAGAGATAGAATTAGGAGAAAATAACCACCTGAGAAGGACCAAAAAAAAAACCATCCAGTCCTTGTGTGACACAGACTAGCGACTGGCAAAACGAGGCATCTATTGTCATTGAGAAATCCTAAGAAGCAACTAACTGTATCCTGAGGTCTTACTTTATTAAAGTCTCCCATGGAAAAAACAAGGTATTTTCATCCTGTCTACTGTTATGTCACCATACAAAACAGATATCAGCTTTGAAGTATTTAAATCTGAAATTTGTTATGGTGAGCAAGAAAATTGAGGAAATTAAATGCTGTCATCTACATAGAATTACTGCTTTAAAAATTGTTATCAAGATATCTGACCATAGCTTCTCACTGAAGCACAGTGAAGTCGTAGAAGTCAAAAGCAGCACTGAATATATTATTTGGCAGACTTAATTTTTAATGTTTAAATAACAGTTTCCAAAGAGTCTCTATTTTAAACCTCTGACTTAAGATCATGACTGTATTAGATTATATACAGAAAACAGCATGACAAATTCACCATAAGCATGAATAAGTATACTTTTAGATATATACATGGTTAAAATAAACCACCTTACCACTGCACTTACATATATTTCTTAAACGCACACATACATCATACAAATGTATGTGCACATACACACAAAGTCTTGAAAGTCAAATTCTTACAATACCTGAAAATAGTTCCTTTGAGGATCTAAAAACTTAATTACATTGGTTGGTTGGTTATTAAAGTCCTGCTTCTGACCATTGGTATATGGCCTGAAGTTTTGAGGAAGGTGATATAAATCAGCCTGTTCACATTTACTCGGAGGGCTATAACCACTTCCGCCTTCATCGCCACCTTCTTCAGGATGGTACCCAGGATGTTTGTCTTCAGTTTTACTTCGATCTTCTTGCCAGTCATTGCCACATTTTGCTTCAACATATAAACTCCCAGTTTCATTATAGTCCTAGTAGATAAGAGTAAAACAAAAGCACTCAGATCTATTCCCACCCTCATCAACATCATCATCACACCAGATACTTACATTTATATTTTGAGATGTGGGCAGCACTTGCTCATTCCAATTCATCTTCGAGTGCTCAGGATGATGTGGTCTTGAAAAAAATCAATACTTTAGATTTAAATCCTATCATTTTTTGGACATCGATAACACAAAGAACCCTAAGATTTTAGTGGTTTCCCTCAAACCTTCACCCAAAATTTTAAGAATCAGTCCACAATTTTATCATCATGTATATTATTATTACCTACAGACAATCAAAAGAAAAAGACACATAGAACTGCAAAACACCAGTGAAAGAGATTTTAGGTCCTTACTCTCCCTCTGTGCCATCCTCACTGCAGTCTGAATAGTGGAGCTCGGGGGAAGAGAGGTCATCATCCAGCATATCATGAGGAAGGTCTGTGAGTAGCTGCTGCAACTGAGTGAGGAAAGTCTGCATCAGTATTCCACCAATTTATATATGAGATGCCAAACCAATGCTGCCTTGGAGCAGTGATTTTTTACTGTAGAAATCAAAGAAGTTCCTACTCCTTTAATTGATTCCTTAAATTCTACACGAATTATGTTCATCATTTCATTTGGGAAAAAAAGAAGGCATAATGTCAGGATTTATATCATAAGATCTTATTTTTTTCTGCAAAGGTCTCAGATTTAAATACACATTCAACAGAATTGAAAAACTTATTATGGAAACACAGCAAGTCGTAATAATGGTACAATCATTGTATTATGTTATCACAGGGCAGATTGAGTTTCAGAGACCTGTTTTACCAGTATCAGACCTGGGGACTTGACAGTCAGACATCCCTCAGGGAACCTGAGTAGCCAGATGCACTTTGCCCAGGTGAGGAGAACAACGGCAGCAGCAGGTGGCCTAGAAGCCCTTGAAAGCTCTGATAATGTGATGGAAACCACTGGGGAGGGACTAATTAGTAGACAGCCATCTAATTCCAATGATGAAAAGACATACAATACTCTGCTCTAATAAAACACTTGAGTAAAAGCAGAGTTTGAAGAGTCCATTTTCTACAGATTGCACACTCAAAAGCATAACACTAAAACTGACATTAAAAATTTGACTTTGTTCTCCTATTTTTTCTAGAAAAAAACCCACATCTTTACCACTTTGCTTATATAAACTAGACAAATAAAATTAATTCATTCAAGTTTCAAGTTAAATATGATAAAAAGATGAATAAATCATCTAATTTATTGAATTTCAACAGGTATCTGCAACGATCCTTCTTCAAATCTCAATAAAAATGTCCCAAAATTTGTAACAATCAGAATATCAAATATTATGTCACTTAAGTTTGTAAGGGGACTGTTTCTAATGAGTTCTCTTTAAGAAAGCAAGCACCAGTTTAATTAACAAGTTGACTAAGTTCCTCCAAAGTACATAAATCAAACCCCATAAAATTTTCAACAAGTGAACTTTAAAGACATTAAATACTCTATGAAACATAGGAGAAAAAAAGAGCTGCTCCTCAGTACAGGGTAGGTTATTTTTTTCCACTTTATTTTTCATTATTATAAAAGAAATGGAATGTAGCTATAAAGCATATCTGAGTATTATGTTAAAAACTTAAATAGGCCAGGCTCAGTGGCTCAACCTTTAATCCCAGCATCATGGGAGGCCAAGGTGAGTGGATTGCCTGAGCCCGTGGGTTCGAGACCAACCCAGGCAACTTGGCGAGACCTCATCTCTACAATAAATTAAAAATTAGCTGGGCGTGGTAGCGTGCACCTGTAGTTCCCACTGCTTAGAAGGCTGAGGCAGAAGAATCATGGGAGCCCAGCAGGTCAACACTGGAGTGGCCATGAGTGTGACATGGTATTCTAGCCTTGGCAATGAAATGTGACTCCAACTCAAAAAAAAGAACTTAAACAAAACATGTATGGTAAAAGTTAAATAAACATATCCTAATAAAGGTCTAAGAATACCCCAAATTGCTAACTAAGCTTTGATGAAATAAAAGTTGGAAATAGAAATGCTGTATGTGAAGTGGGGGATGGTAAGGAGCATACTTCCTGACCCCATAGATATTTCTGATAATCACTGGATGGGTTTTTTTTTTTTCTTTCAAAAAAAAGGGTTTTCTCAACCCACTTGGTTCCTTAAAAATGAAACAAAAACATTCTCTACAATGAAAAGTTATCTTCATTTCTAAGTCTATTTGATGCTAATATTAACAAGGAAGACCTTGATTTACTGCCCATCTGCACATGCAGGGTACTTCGAAAAAATCATGAAATCAGCCATTTCATAATTGTCCCAAATATATATAAAGAACAAGAACCACAAAAAAAAAGACCACTAAAAACAAACAGAACGCATCAACATATTAATATACTACGTGCCTCAAGTGAAAGGTAGCAAAAAACGTTTACAAAAACACAAAATGCACTAGGAAAAAAAAAATCACATCTATGAGATCTTTTAAAAGTAGTCCAATCCATTTTACCTTTGAAGAAAAAGACTACCCCCTACATATGACACAGGGAAAAATAAATCAACAAAATAAATCTTTTGTACTTACATTCAGTAAAGACTACTGAACAAAAAGAATATTTTCTTCTAAACCTTCAGTGAGGTTCAAGTACTTAGGCTTATAATTCAGGGGAACCTTAACAGGAGACATCTGAACAGTACATTTTTTTCCCTCACAAAAACAGAAAAAGCTACATAATAATTAACAATTGTTATAGCTTTCTTTGTGACACCACAAAATTAGCAAAACTGGCATCCACAGAAGAAAATTAATTTGAGTGTAATTAGTTAATCAAAATGCTTCTGGATCCACAGGTAAACTTATCAACTAGCAAAATCATCCCTGTAGCATTTAGCATCCCTATACGTCATTTTATATATATGTTAACATTTTTAAATCGTTTCATTTCATTCACCTTCAAAAAATTTCTCCATCAAATTCTTTGGCATAGCAGGGTCATATTTCTTGGACCGTATAACTTTCAGGGTAAAGAAAAGCAAATGAAGTGAAATTCTCCTAAGAAGGCCATTCAAGAACCAAATCCCACCCCGAATGTCTTCATTTCCCAGATCAAAGTGTGCCCTCTTCATATACACTGTCAAATTGCTTTTTGGCCATTGACCCTTGTGCAATAAAACACAAAACTGCCATACTATTTATGCATCTTACCAAACAGAATTTTAGAAACTATAAAGGATCCACACAACTTCCAAATACAGACTCAAGGACAGAGATACAACCCTTACAAAATTTAATCCCACTGATTAACTTCAAATTCATCAGACTGCATTTTGGTTGTAAGCAGTAAAGATCTTCTCAGTAGCCAGGCTTGGTGGCTCAGCCTGTAATCCCGTGCCTTGGGAGGCTGAGGTGAGTAGGATTGCCTGAGCCCGCGGGTTCGAGACCCACCTGGGCCACTTGGCGAAACCTCATCTCTACAATAAATCAAAAATTAGCCGGGCGTGGTAGCGGGCGCCTGTAGTTCCAGCAACTTAGAAGGCTGAGGCGGAAGGATCGCCGGAGCCCAGCAGGTCGAGGCCGCTCCCAGTCACTGCACTTCAGTCTGGGCGACAGAGTGAGACTCCAACTCAAAGATCTTCTCAGTGGGGCAATACTGTGTATCAACTGAATTTAAAAATTTAAGAGATACTTTCCCTAGAAAAAAGATAATTTGCCATTGTTAAGCCTTCAGTTGAAATAAATTCTGAGTCATTCTATAAGCTCTCCCTTTCTTACTTCATTTTTCTTTGATAAAAAGAAGAGAAAAAAAAGAGGGCATTTTATTCAAAGAACTGTGTCAACAAAACACTTCACAATCACCTATGTAGAACAGCCAAAAAGCCTATGTTCAGGGAAGGATGTAAAACAGAGAACATGTCAACCTTTTGTTAGGATTTTCCACTTAGTTAACTAAACAGGCTGTCTTCAGAGCCTATAACTCCCAATATTCGTGAAAGTAACAATCCTCAAGTTACAAACTATACAAAGCGTCTTCTCCCAAGAGAAAGGCAGCAGATGGAATACCTAACAGTCATATTTCCTTTGAACAGGTTACTTCATAAGTATACTTCTGAAAAGATTCTGGTATTTTAAAATATGAATTATTAAATAATGCTTTCATGGATACACATTAAATGCAAACAAATACTAGCTTTACAACTCCCTCTAGTGGAGACAAAATATCAAAATGCTTCCATAATTACATCAAACAAGGCAGTTAAAAAGTGAAGAAAGGCTATGCAATGGAAACCTTGCCTCTAAAATACATGATTTTAAGCTCAGTGGAGTTTCATTGTTCCATTAGAGAAATACCAATATGAAAACTAGGAAGAACCCAAATCAGTACTGCCAGGCACAAATTTCTGCCTGCCATCTGCTACTTAAATCACCTACCTTTCTACTCAAGGACATTTTAGAATATATCATCACCAAATGACCCATCATCAGCAAGTACTATCTTCATGTCACAGATTACCAAGTATTTCTGCCTCAAATCACCAGCTCCAGAGTATATACATACATACATAGACAATTTTACTCTCTAGAACAAAACAACAATCACAGAGCTACTTCTGGGGACACTGCAGAAAGTACATATCTATTCCAGCAAACTGCAAGATTCCCAAATGACAATCTACCTTACGCTGTGGCATTCCCAATAACTTAGAAGTTTATAACAAGCATTCCTACTGCCAAAAACAGAAACAACTATATCTCTGTAATTTTCAACTACAAACTCATAAAGTATAGAGACTTTAGGCAAAAAGTTACATTGCTACATTATGAATGAGTTAATTCTTCTTTTCTGGGCCAGCTTTATAAATAAAGTTTGCTTTGGATGAGGTCTACTTAGTAGCAAAAAGAATTATGTTAGCAGCTCTCAAATGGTACAGGAAAGTATTGTGCTCCAATAAGTTGGGAGGAATGTGTGGCAATTAACTGATACTAATTGACATGATACCATTCTTTCATGGTGTCATCACCCTCACTCACCTGCACCCTAATGTGCTCTGTTAACTGGGTAAGAGATGGCATTTCCACTGAAACACAGTGAGAAGCTGTAGATTACATACCTCTCTGCTATGCCATGGACTGCAGTGGCCCAGCTTTTACCAATGTGCCATTAATAGTTGTGGCAATTTAGAAATGATTATAGGCCTCGGTTTTCTGCAAAATTTTTGTTTTTTGTTTTTCTCCAAAATATGAGTCTATTCATGATAGTCTGTGGCTTAAATTCCACTAGTCTAAATGTTTTTAAATATTAAATCACCTGTTTTAAATGTTTTTAAATATTAAATCACCTAAATCCTTTCTGTTCTGAGAGTTAAATACACTTTCTCCATTTGATCTTCAATGCAACAAATAGAGGGAATAGAAACAGAAAAGGCAAGATCATAATTGTAGAGCTGCTAATTAGGATGGGATACAGGTTGGAATAGTGTATTCATATGTGGACAAAATCCCAACTGGCACCAAAGCAGCAAAATTAAACACAGTTTGGTAGAGCATGTTGTATTAGCAACTGGTTATTCATACGAGAAGTTCAAAATCAGAACTTTCCTACCATTAACAAAGAAAGGTGTTCACAAATCCTTAGGAGGGTAGACTATGAGTCAGATGTGGTATGTTTCATAAGCCTTGAAGTACATCACTCTGTCCTACCTAATGTAGGCATTCCACCTCCATAAGTGAATTGAACAAAACATGATTCACTAAGTAGAGAAAGCAATACGCATTAGCCCACTGCTAATAGACTTTAGCCACAATCCCAAAGCTATCAACCTAATAGAGAGAGGAAAAAAAAAACCCTCTTTCCTTTAATCTCTTAAGGCTGTGAACTGTTCTGCTACCGGAGTCAGAAAGACTGAGAAGGTTGAAAAAACTTCTGTATATGCAAGCAAGTTTGGGTTTAATCAGCCAACTTATTATTTTAACCTGCAGTGACAATACACATACAGCTGAATTTTTATGAACAGTTCTGAATATTTTTGCCGAAAAATCGAAACTCTCTGGCCTCTAATCTCGCTTTTTCCCTTGCAGCAACTATTTTTTTTAAGATAAAAACATATTTTGGCCAGGTACAGTGGCTCACAGCTGTAATGTCAACACTTTGGAAGGCCAAGGCAGGAGACTGCTTGAGCCTAGGAGTTCAAGACCAGCCTGGGCAACATAGTGAGACCTCATCTCTACAAAAAAAATTAGAAAATTAGCAGGGCATGGTGGAGCGCCTGGCCCGTAGTCCCAGCTACTTAGGAAGCTGAGATAGAAGGATCACCTGAGCCCAGGAACTCAAGGCTGTGGTGAGCTATGATAGTGCTACTGCACTCTGGGTGACAGAGTAAGACACCAACTCCAAGAAGAAAATGTTTTAACACGAAGGTTCTTAAGAATATAACCATAATCACCATATTAGAGTCAAATTCACTACATATTCTTTTCTTCCATTTTGCTAGAAACACTCACTCTTCGTCTTGTAACAACTACTTTTCCTCCGGAAATTCCCCACCCCAGCAAACAATGTATCCAAGGGGTGATCCCAATGACTATTTCCTACATTATCTCAAATTAATTGCCTCTTTAACTAATATTTCCTTTAAAATTTTCACCACCCAATACACTGGCAGTAAGCTCTAATATCCTGCCCATCTATCTAATATCTTTCCCAATGAAAAATCACCTGTCAAAATATTTTTTCTTCCTTACAGTGGTGATTACTTAAACTGAACCTCTCAAGAATCCCAGTGGCTAAATCCCCAGCCAACTATCCAAGCCATCGCAGTCATAAAAACCTCATGCTGCAGGTTCAAAGTAACAGAAAATCCTCATCCCCATCTTTGCCACAACAATTGTTGTGAGGGACCCTGCCAAAATCCAAAAACCCTCACCAGTGTCATAAACTCAAATGCCCTCAGGGCCCTGGCAGAGAATTTACAAGAGCAAAGCAGGCAGGTCTAAGCCCATGTCTTTGTGAGAAGCGGGGACCATGGCCCTCTGGGAAAGGAGAGCCCCTGCTCAGCTCCAGCCCGCCTGCTGCCATGCGCAAATACCAGCCAGGTGTGACCAGGGTTTGAATGTTTTAAGACAAGGCAGCACTACATAAAATCTTCCTATCTTTAAACAGATTCAGTTTTTTAAAAGCATTGCGCAACCAAACAATTCATGTCTATGGACAAAATCCAGAAGCTGTCAGTTTTCTACCTCTATCATAATTCTACTGCCAGCCCCATGAACAATGGCTGAGTGATCCCAATCCTTGCTTCCTGTTAATACTAATGGTCTGCATATTAGAAAACGGGTCATATCATAACAGTCTCAGAACAAAAGAAGCCTTTTATCACAGTCAATCAAGTTGAACTCAATCTAAAAACAGTTATCACAAGTAAATTGACTTCCACCAGTAACACTACAATTGCTATTACTATTGCTACCAATTACTAAAACTACTATATGCCAAGAGTTCTGCTAAACACTTATATATGTAAATAATATGACCCTCCCCTTTTCTTTCTTTCCATCTATAATCTATTCTCCTTACAGGTTCTGAAAGATCTTTCAAAAATATTATCAGACACCACACTTCCCTGCTTAAACTCCTCCACTGGCTTCCTATAGCTTTTAGAATAAAAGGCAAACATCTTCTCATGTTTTACCAAAATATGGTCCCAGTACACATCATTCTAAACGTATCACACACACTGGCTCACATATTCTCAACAATAGCTTCTGGCTGTTCTCTTCCCAACTTCCCAGTTTACATTCATTAGTGTCTTGGCCTAGAACACTCTTCCTCAGGGATCTGCATGGCTGGTTCCTTCTCATGAGTCAAGTCTCAACTCAAACATTGCCTTTTCCCAATGACCTTCTCTCAGCACCCTGTCCACTACAGCCCTTTGCCATTTGCTTCCTATCACCCCAGTCTGTTTCCCTATTATTGATCAGGGATAAGTTATCACTCATTCAAATTATTTTCTTCATATGTTTACTTGCTTATTGTTTACCTCCACTAAAATGTAAACGACCTGAAGCAAAGAGCCTCACCTGACTTGTTCATGGCTATGTTTGAAGCCCCAAGAAACTAAGCCTTTGCTTCCAACACCAACCATTACCTCCTACATGAAAAGATCTTTAAAAGTTAACCATGTATCTGATGACATCATTTGCAGTTGTATTTTATTCTTGTCCTCAAAAGGAAAGTATTCCACTTATCTACCTCTTAAAAATCCAAATATCAATCAGGTTTTAAGGCTGTTTTGTTTAAAAAAATAAAAAAGAATTATAAATGCCTTCAAAATGGTACAAGATGATATAATATTGATCAGGAAATAAAATCTGTTAAGGATTGGGTTAAGAGTCTTTTTCTGAGTAACTTACCTCTTTCTCCCTTTCATAGTCTTCTCTGTCATATTCTTCATCTTCATTTTGTGTCGGTAGGGCCACACTGCCAAAGTCTAATGACATGGTCATCCTGTGAGAAGGGAAAGTTGGTTGGTTTCTAAATATTCCACTAAATCTCCCTAGAACTACATAAAAGTTGCCATACACAAAGTCAAAAGACAACAGCAGGATACGAGGAAATATATATAACTCATGTACGACAAAAACAAATTAATTGTGATTCATAGAAAATAGCTATATGACACTAATCAATAAGAAAGAAAAAATTAAAAAATGAACAGATCTTTCTACTGGTCTGGAAAGTATAACATAAAATAGTAAGATTTTTGCCCATACAAGAAATAGAATGATAATAATAAACTAGAAATGTGCCAAATAAAAATCGTAAAAATAACCTCAAACAAAATTTCAAATTTGACAGATTAAACATGGTCCAGATAGTGCCCTCTTTAATTTGCCTCACTCTTTGAATATCATAAACCTAAATTTCATGCTTTACAAAAAGAGGGCCCTGAAATCTTGAGTTAATGACTGCTACCCAGAAACCATTTACAGTCTGGTAAACTCTATTCGGGCACACAACAAAAATGTAAGTGTTAAGTGTCCTGCCCTTAAGCTTGATAAAAATCAGGTTCTGGCAAAAATCCTTAGGAAAAATAGAAGTGAAGGCCATGAAGCTACACCACTGTGAAGTTCCAATTCCAAAAGCAATAGCAAGAGTTCCCCCGGGAACAGTCACTGCTTCGACAGAAGCTGCAGCAGGAAATGGCTTTTCAACTACTTACAGTCAAAAAAGGCTGCTGCTGATTTCAATTATACTTAGAGATCCTGACACTACACATAAACTCCTCAGAATTTCAAAGCTATGAACAATCCTGACAAAAAAGTAGGCAGGTGTCAGCAATTGTCTGGCCTAACACCGCCCTCCCTTCAGCCCACTGTTGTACATGCCAACGAAATGCACTTGGATGTGAGCCTGAGCCACAACTCATTCACTACACCTTTCAGGCTCTAAAACGTCATTAAACTGGAAGTAAAATTAGAAACATAGAGATCCAGCAATCCAAATGCATCTTACCATAAAGAACTTAGCTCCCTCCTGTTAACAGTTGATAATTTCATCACAAACTTTTACATAAGCCAATAGCTCTATAGCAGAAGATAGCCCATTTCAACAGATCTAATGACACAGTTCCATTTGTACCACTAAGAAAAAGATGTAGCCAATTAAATTATGACACATCATTAATTTTAAAATGCAGCCTATCTTGTAGCTGATAAAATGTGAAAAGAAAATATGCAAGTTAGACTACATAAAGATAGTATTGAAAGAGGAATACAAATATGAACTTCAGTGCTGAAAATCCCCATATGTCAAGGCTTTGTTTTTCAAAGACTGTTTCTTGGCCAAGCTCTAATTTGCAGTCCACTTTCTAATCCTTTCCTCTCTGGTCCCTGCACCCAGCTCATCCCTTTCAACTCATATCAACTCAAGCTCTTCATTCACATCAACTTAAACTCTTCTAGCCTCTGCTTCTCAGACCAGACCTCGTTCTTTCTACTTTTGTGCCAGGGTTAAAAAAGATGTGTACTCTTTACCTGAGGGGGAAAATAAACAAGTTCAGGGAAAATAAATGTAAATGTAAATCCACCTATAAGAATCCTCTCGTATACCAGCATAAGATGAAGATCTGAATATAGTAAAAAGCCTATTATATAGTTAAAATGGTGAGCAGAAAACACACAATCTCATGTTTCTAGGTTGTTTTTCAATACTGTAAGTGGACTTGAAGGTCCAAAGAATACTATATATAGGTAATGAAGACATTAGCCCATTTAAATCCCAATTCCTTAAAAATTATAAGATTAGACTGGACCTTTAAGACATCCCCAAATCCTCCAGGCAGAAATAATCCTTTCTGTTCCTGAGTTCTTAATTGTGTTCTCCAGCTCTTCTTAAATTTAACTATAAATACAAGGCAAAATATGGAATTTGGGGCAATTTCTCCTTTATTAGTTAAGAGAAATGGAGGGAGGTTTATTCCCAATCCTACAATAACTTGCCATCAATCAATGCCGACTATTGAAAAAGAGTATTAATGAGTACACTAAAAGCCCAGACTTCACACCCAATAATATCCATGTGAAAAATCTGCACTTGAACTCCCAAATATATAAAAATTTTAAAATTAAAATTTTTTTTAAAGAACATTAAGATTTACAAAAGATTATTGCTAAATATAGCTATTTTAAATAAAGAGCTACCTTTTCTCAGAGAATAATTCCACAAGATGTTTTTGGTTTTAAGAGAAGAGAATGTAAAAGACCAAAGTGTGTTTTTAATGGCATTTTAAATCCAAACCATGTTATTTAAAGAAATCTGAAAAAATCTGAAAAGACTAAAATCTCCCCCACTGAGGAAGAAAAGGCATAAATTTTCCTCTGAATAGTGTAAACTACTAAAAACCTTAAGAAACGATTTTAGAAATAAAGGAAAATCTGATCAACTTACTATGGTTTAAAAGAACACTAAAAAGGATAATTACTATTTCTAATAAAATTTAAAATAAAAGCTAATGTTTTTCTTTAACTTATTAATTACCACTGCTATCATAAGTTTTATTATAATATTTATAACAATAGAAGAGACTGCTTAAAAAAAAAAAAAGCAAGATAGTAAATTCAGAAACCACAAAAAAAGAAACATAATGAAAATCTTACCACAAAAAATTAAAATTTGTATAAGGCAAAAGACAGCACTAACAGGTCAAATATTAGGTATGGAAAAATACATCACTAACAGTCAAAAGACAAAATAAGAATAATTTTAAAATATATTTGTAAAACACATGACAAAGTCCCAATATACAATTCTTACTAATAAATGAGGAAAAGGCCAAAAAAACAGCTTAAAAATGGGCAACCCCTTGAGGTCCCCTCCCACTGTGAGAGCTTTTCTGTCCTCTCTATAAATCCTGCTTTCTCAAAAAAAAAAAGGTGGGGGGGGGGCAACCTGAATCTGTCAGTTACAGAAGAGGTTAAGGGAACAGAGGATTCAGTATATCTGAGAAAAGTTGAATGTGCCACCTGCATCAAATAATGAAACCTACTCTGGAATGAACATGCCACCTCACTTCAAAACGCCCTTCCCAATCCTGTTCCCCTACAAAATTAGTCACTCCTTTGCACTTTTATACTGTACTTCTTATGCTTTTCTTAAAAATGTAAGCTGGTCTGACAATTCATTAAAAAGAGGAATGTAAATGTACAACAAACTTGAAAAAACGTTTAAGCCCAGTAAGTTTCAAAGATGTGTTATTTAAACAACAAAATGCCATTTTCTTTCTTTTCTTTTGAGTTGGAGTCTCACACTGTCGCCCAGACTAGAGCGCAGTGGCCGTTCCCGGCCATCGCAGCCTCGACCTGCGGGGCTCCGGCGATCCTTCCGCCTCAGCCTTCCAAGTAGCTGGAACTACAGGCGGGCGCTACTACGCCCGGCTGATTTTTGATTTATCGTAGAGATGAGGTCTCGCCAAGTTGCCCAGGCAGGTCTCGAACCCGCGGGCTCAAGCAATCCGCTCACCTCGGCCTCCCAAGGCGCGGGATTACAGGCTGAGCCACCGAGCCCGGGGCAAAATGCCATTTTCAACTACTAGACTGGAAAAATAACAAGATACCTGGTAACACCCAGTAGTGGCTACTTTTTATTTTGTGTGGCTCATGAATTGCTGGTAAATATGAACTGCTAAAATCATTTTGAAAACGATCAATATTAATAAACTGAAAATGAACGTCTGCCCTAGTGAAATTACTTTTGAATAAATTTGGCAATATTATGCCACTAGTCAAAAATAATGAAACATTTCTACATATATTGACTCAAAGGACTGACCATTTAAAATATAAAGATGCAGGGTAAGTGTTCAATATGCCTTTTTAATAGAAGTCTACCAAAGACTTTCTTCTTAGATGGAAAACTTTTTCTGATTTCACTAACAAGATGGTTACACTCAGATCAGATAGTGCTCTGACCCAGGACTCCTTTTGTTGTCCCTGGTTGATTCCTCTGCCTTTCTTGCAACAAGACCACTGAGTGTTAAGTTGGACAAAAGACTACAAAGCAAAAGTTTTTTTTTTGTCTCATCTAATAAACTGTAAGCACCATAAAGGCAGAATTAAAATGCATCTACCCACTTGTACATGGTAGGCACACAACAAATACTTGCTGACTAAATATGACAGATTCATGTCACCCTATACAAATTATCTCAATATAATTTTATTGAGTTCCTACTGTGTGCCAGATTATATCCTAGATGCATCTAAGACATGCTACCAGTCATGGGGAGCTCACAGTCTCTTAGAGAGACAATGATACAAATTAATAGTTACAATAATACACTGTACTAAATTCTGTAGTAGAGAAAAGTACAAAGCACAAAATAATTTTTGCCTGTGAAAAAAAGGAAGCCATAGAGAAGTTTCACGGGAAGAAGAGATTTTAGATTAGAAATAAATCTTAAAGGACACAATATAGCGGTAAGAGGCTAAAGAATGAGAGCATTCAGACAACCTGGGCTCAATGCTGGCTCTTCTATTTATTAGCTGTGCAACCTTGAGCAAACCATTTCTATTTCTTCATTAATGAAACAGAAGTAAAAGCAGTATCTACTTCAAAGATTAGTTATAAGGATTCACAAGGTAATACATACCAAGTACTTAGCACTAGGTACCAATCAATATTTTAGTTTTATTATTATGCCATTAAGGAGTCGGTCAGCTACAGAAGAGGTGAAGGGAACAGAGGATTCAGTATATCTGAGAAAAGGTGAATGTGCAGCCTGCTTCAAATAACGCAACCTACTCTGGAATGAACATGACACTTCACTTCAAGATGCCCTTTCCCATCCTGTTGTCCTACAAAATTAGTCACACCTTTGCACTTTCAGACTGTATTTCTTATGCTTTTCTTATCGTTTCAACTTCAGCCTCTATTATTTAGCTGAGTGCATTCACCTATCTAGAGAATGCACATAAGTTGTCAGGCACTATGAAGAAATAGGATGGAATTCGGCTTAAATCAGACTCGAGTTCATGACATCAAGAAAGAAAGTGTTAAGGGGGGATTATAAGAATTGCCCTGGGAGATGGGAAATTCTGCTTACTTGCTTACATGCTAGCTGCCTTTATAGAATGGACACAGAGCACATAGCTAGCCTGCTTTACCTGCAACACCTGGCTGAGAGAGCCTAATCATTCATTCAAGAATTACCAAGCACTGTTCAAGATTACAAAGTTTAACAGGTTATGATAAAGGGAAAGAAAATAGACATATAAACAAACGATAACAACAGCCTGTGATTAGTGCTAATAACAGCACCTTAGACAAATCGATTCAAGATGCCCCCAGGGGCGGAGCGAGTAATCCTATACCCAGTAGGCACCCACAGGCTGAACGAATGTATATACATGCGTGACTTTACTAAGGAACTCAGCTTGGCGTCAGCCACAACACAGCAAACAGGTGCCACGGGACCAAAGCTGCAAGGAGCCCAGGAAGCTTGGGGCTGCTGGCTTTGGGTGCCAGCGTCACTTGCACCCGGTCTACACACGTGCACAGAGCACCCACTGTGAGCCAGGCGTAGCACCAGGGTGACCGGGGGGGGTCCTCGGGTAGGGTCTCGGGGCGACCCCAGCAGCCTAGAGAACAGACGCGTAGGGTTTCCCATAGGTAAGTTCTAAGTAGGATCTTAGAGGAATAAAAATGTCTCGATGACACTTCAAAAGTCAAAAGCGGAGCCCCGCAACCCGCGGGCAGTCCACCGCTGCGGAATGTGGGGAGGGGGCGGGCAGCCCTCCGGGAAGCCTCAACCAAGATCCCCAGAACCCCGCAACTCCTCATTCACAAGCCTCCCGCGAACCAGATCTCACCGGTGGTCACGGACGCTGGCACCGCGAGGAAACTCTAGCCCCAGGCAAAGACCACCTTGTAGCAAACCTCCTTATTATCCTGGCTCTAATCCACTAGCTCCTTCCTAGTCTCAACCGAACACACGGAACTGAGGCCCTTGAGGAGCAGCCGCCTCCTTCAATCGCCGGCTGGAAACTCGCCTGGCGGGCGGGGCCGTGCAGGCTCAGGGCCGGGTCAGTAGGCGGAAGTCCCCGCCTTCCTCAAGCTTGGTTGAGAAGTGCACCTGCAGTTGCTAATACACGACTGTTTGAAAGCGGGCGCCAGAGGTGGCGGGAAGCTCTCCTTTGCGCCCATTGGTGGACTCGTGAGCCAATTACGGAAGGAGTGACTCCGGAGTGGGTGGGCTTATTGGTTGCCTAGAGACGACGAAGCTCCGTGCTTGCTACCCTGGGCTAGGATGGACCCGCCTTCCTGGGCCTCTGGGCTGGAGGACACCGGCGCGGTGACTCGTGCTCCCCGCGCTTCCGCACACGGAATTCACAGTTCTCCATAGCCCCCCTCCAACCTGCCGAACTCTTGCCTTAGAGGTTTTTGCATTTGCCCTTCTTGTTATCTTCAGGCGCCTGCGTCCACATCACCTAACATCCTTAGATACCGTTTTGCTTTGTTTTCTAGCTTACTGGGTCCCGCCTTGTCTAAATCTGTGTTTCTTTAATTACTGACAAGATGGCACATTTTTCCACGTCTGTTCACTTCTTGAATTTCCTCAAGTGTGAATGTTCTTGTCGCTTAGGTGTGTATCAACCTGTCCTTTGAGACAGCACCATTCAGTCTTTGGTAAAGCCCGTTACTGTATATACTTTCTCTAGTTAAAAGGGTTCCAGTGAATATCAAAGAGCTGGTTGAGGCAGGAGAACTAGCACAGGTTAGACATCGATAAATTTCCTGTAGGTAAGTTTTAGGAAGCATTCAGACATTTTTTATTACATTTTATTACTGCAGGCCAAGCTAGCAGCCGACCCCACCCCCTCGGTAAATCAGAAGAAAATTTCATCAGGTGTATGAATAGGACAACCCAATCTTTCAATTTATGATTTAGCATAATAATCACTAAACGTCTTTCAGGTTCCCTCTCAAAGGCGGAAGGCCAAATACCCCTTAACTAGCCAAAGACATATAAATGATAATAAAATCACCTTTTAGCTCATAAACTTGTGAACTGAAAATGTCTGATAGGTCTCCTACAAAAGATAATGTGGTCTGGAAAAGACCACCCCTCCACCCATCAGAAGCAAGAGATGTCAATCCCTCCAGAGCTACAGTTACCTGGGCTCCATCCTCTTTAGCATAGCAATCATTGTGAAGGTATATCAGACCTATTGTAAAAAGCAAAAAGTGAGATTTCTCTCGACCATGCCAGCTCTGGCATGTCTATCTTTCCCCTCTTCTTTCTCTAATAAACTTTGTTTTAAAACTTTGCTAGTCACTCCAAAATTCACTTTAGGGTTACGCCAAAGAATCCACAAGTTTTGTGCGGTAACCCACCTGGCATCATCTTGGCGCCCAAACGGAGGCATGAGAAATTCAGCAATAGCTGGCACCACGTGGGCTGTGAGAATGGCAGCCAGAAGCCTCTATCTCTCTCTCCTCGGATTCTGCTGCTTCCACTTTCACTCCTCTTCCTTCCTAACTCTCTATTTTACTAGGGGTGGAGATGGGGGGCCAGAAAGGATTTCTACTTGGACTAGGGATGGAGGGCTTTTTTTGTTGTTGTTGTTATTTTAACAGTCAAATTATACTTATTTTCAAATGCTAGCAACCAGGTTTTTTTTTTTTGTTGTTTTTTTTTTTGATTTGGAGTCTCACATCTGTCGCCCAGGCTGGAGGGCAGTGGCACGCTCCCGGCCACCGCAGCCTCGACCTGCTGAGCTCCGGCAATCCTTCTGCCTCAGCCTTCCGAGTAGCCAGAATTACAGGCACGCGCTACCATGCCCAGCTGATTTTTTGATTTATTGTAGAGATGAGGTCTCGCCAAGTTGCCCGGGCGGTTCTTGAACCCTTAGGCTCAGGCAATTCACTCACCTTGGCCTCCCAAAGCACGGGATTACAGGCTGAGCCACCGAGCCCGGCTAACCAGGTTGTTTATTTAGAATTGAGTCTGTTTCTAAAGGTTTGAGTCTTGCCCAAGATAGATTGCAATCAACCATTTATCCTTGCAAAACCATTAAACATCTCTTAAAAGCATGTAGTGAATTTTAAGTCCCTCTCTGGTTAAGAAATTCTTTCAACTCAGAGAAAAGACAGCCTGTTGTCATTCTAATTTGCTTTTTTAATCTAACTTGCAGGCACTCTAGAAACTGGGCAGTGCAGAAAACTTTTTTAAAAGTCTGTACTCAAATCTTGCTTCCCATACCTTACCATGTGTAAGCCTATTTTTAACCATTGATACTAGATAACACCACTGTTTATTATGTGAGGTTCACGAAAGTTTTTTTGGGAAAAGGAAGTAAGATCACTTTACTTAACCCAGTACTTCTCCTAGGAGATGGCAAAGTGCTAATGCTCTTGTGTACCACAATAAGGCATAAGAACTGATCACTCTCACCTGATTGTCCACACCTTACAACTATTTTTCCAAAAATCTCACACAAACCTCCAACACCTTCTAGACTACAATGTAGTGATTTATGAAGGGTCTTAGCAAATCAGCCTACTCTCAACTGGAAATGGGTGAGAACAGATCATTTCCCACCCATGTAGCCTATTCACTCTAAAAATCGTATGTATCACAACATTTCAAATGGCACTGTTGGAAGATCTCTGATTAAACCTCATTGGTCGTCATACAGGTCAGTCATACAAGCATGGAAAGTCCTATGTAGGCAGATACTGAAGTGGTGAGAAGCTTCAGGCAGGGCTGGGGACACTCAGCTCAGGAAAGCCCATCAGGATCCCAGGAATGCCTGTATTGCTGTTTTGATTTTTTCAGAATTTTCCTTTGAGGAACACAGCACACCAGGGTTCAAAGGCAAAGTTCGGGGGGGGGGGCGAATTTGGGGGGGTTTGGTGTTTTGTTTTGTTTTGTTTTGAGAAATGCAAAAAAGAAAATGGGTAATACTCAATCCACACCCTCAGACCCCCCCACTGGGTCAGATTTTAAAGAATTTGAAAAAATTAAAATTAAATGGCTTAAAACAAAAAACAAGTTAAGACATTATTGTAATCAAATTTGGATTCAACACTAGTTAACAGATAGTGAAATGTGGATTAAAAATAGGACTGTTCATTTTAATCCATATGACTATTAGAATCATTTTGTAAACAAGAACAGAAATGTTCAGGTTTCATATGTACAGGCATTTTTTAAAAATTTATTACACGACTTTGCAAACAAAATTATATCCTATGGGTTCTTAAATGCCCAACTCCAGAGGCTAGACTTAGAACTACAAGCACCAAGCTTTCAGTTACAGAAAACTTCTGAGGTTTTTAACAACCAAGACATTGAAAGAACAAAAGGGGCCTCCCTGACTGCCTGAGGATTGACAGCCATCATGAACGACACAGTAACTATTCGGACCAGGAAATTTATGACCAACCATCTGCTTCAACAGAAACAAATGGTCATCGATGTCCTTCACCCCGGGAAGGCAACAGTACCTAAGACAGAAATTCGGGAAAAACTAGCCAAAATGTACAAGACAACACAAGATGTCATCTTTGTATTTGGATTCAGAACTCATTTTGGTAGTGGCAAGACAACGGGTTTTGGCATGATTCATGATTCCTTGGATTATGCAAAGAAAAATGAACCCAAACATAGACTTGCAAGACATGGCCCGTATGAGAAGAAAAAGACCTCAAGGAAACAGCGAAAGGAACGCAAGAACAGAATGAAGAAAGCCAAGGGGACTGCAAAAGCCAATGTTGGTGCTGGCAAAAAGTGAGCTGGAGATTGGATAACAGGCAAGGGACTAAAGATGATGCAGTGATGGTATCTGTGGCCATTGTTTGGATTTTTCACGACCAGCTTAATAAACTAAAAACTTTTCAAAAAAAGAAAGAAAAAAGAAAAGGGTGCCAACATGGAGGGCCAAAAAAAAAACCAGACATCCCAATTAACAGTCACCAGTAGTGACAAAACTCCCTGCCTAACCTGGTAAGAACAAACCTGCTATGGGGGATGGTGTCTCTTGCTATGGGTACACTCAGCGGGGGTGCCTGAAGCTTAGTTGCCCTAAAAGGCCTGGACTTCCAGGACCTTGTCCACTGTGTAGGCCAGAGGGCCAGTAGGAAGCAGGTATGCCCTTTTCCAGAGGGAAGGTGAACACCTGGCTCAAGAAATGGTACCAACTCTGTCAAATTTCTTTATCTTTCCCTCTTCTTTAATAAACTTTGTTTTAGAACTTTGCTGGCCATTCTAAAATTCATTTTAGGGTTAAGACAAAAAAATCCACTGGTTTTGCCCCACACCCCACCCAGCATCACTGGTGGCAGTAGTCTTATGCCTCCTTTTAACCATTTCCCATGTGTACTAGTGTGGAGTAAAATGGTTGTTCAAGACACTGCATAATCTGGCTAGATTTCCTTTGCTACCTCATCATCTCACCCCTGTGATGCCTACACCAACCTCTGTCACTCCATCAATTAGTATAGGGTCTAGCTAATAATAGCTACTTAATCCATTGTAATAGAATGAAATCACAGGCTGAGCTACCAGTGGTTCCCAGATGGCTTTTTCCCCTCCCTCAAGCTATTTCTTTTACCTGCATAACCCTACCTTATTTCTCTACCTACCCAGTCTTCAATTTAGAGGAGCACTTCCTTTGAAGTCTTTCATGACACACACCTCCCACCTCTGTATCATAACTTTACCACCTCTGAACTATACACAGTTCACATAACCTAATATAGTTCTTATATCTACTATAATTAGTTTGTATGTCTGGTATACAATATGAATATCTTGAGGTACTCACTTTTCTCCTTGGGCATCTAGCATGTTTCATGACCCCTGGTAAGCACTCAAAAAAAAAATGTGTTAAATGATTAAATGAATGAATGAAGAAACAGATGAAGAGGGGGCAGGGGGCTGGCAGAAAAGCAAATGAAAGCAGATGCCACATACTGCAGGTAAATG